CACTCCAGCCTGGGCAACAGAGTGAGACTCCATCTCAAAAAAAAAAAAAAAAGGTTTAATTTCCATATATGTGTGAATTTTCAAGTTTTCATTGTTATTGATTTCTAGTTTCATTCCATTGTGATTGGAAAAAAAAGCTTCGTCTGATTTCAGTTTGTTAAAATATATTAAAACTTGTTTTTGGCCAGGTGTCAAAACAAGTTTGTATCAAATCTTTTATCAATATGTAATGCCCTTCCTTGTATTTTGTAATCATTTTAAAGTCTATTTTATCTGATAATAATACAGCCACTCAGCTTTCTTTTAATTACTATTTGGTAAAATACCTTTTTTCATCATTTACTTCCAACATTGTATCCTTACATCTAGAGTGAATCTCTTGTTGACAACATTTAGATGGATCTTGTTTTTTTTTTTAAATCCACTCTGCCAATCCCTGCCTTTTCACAGGAGAGTTTAATCCAGTTACATTTAACATTAGTGATAAAGCAATATTTTCTTCTGCCATTTATGCATTTGTTTTTGTATGTCTTACATTTTAAAAATTCCTCAATACCTTAATTACTGCCTTTTTGTATTTTTTTTTTTAGTGTACTTTTTAAAATCCTTTCTTCATTCCATTTCTGTACATTTTTAAGTTATTTTCTTAACGGTTAACATGGGGGCCACAATTCGCATCTTAAATGTGTAACAACTTAGTTTTGTTTGTTATGTTTGTTTCGAGACAGGGTCTCACTCTGTCGCCCAGGCTGGGGTGTAGTGGAGCAATCCTGGCTCACTGCAGCCTCCGCCTCCTGGGTTCAAGTGATTCTCCTGTCTCAGCCTCCCAAGTAGCTGAGATTACAGGCATCCACCACCACACCCAGCTAATTTTTGTCCTTTTAGTAAAGACAGGGTTTCACCATGTTGGACAGGCTGGTCTCAAATACTGGCCTGAAGTGACCCACCTGCCTCAGCCTCCCAAAGTGTTAGGATTACTGGCGCGAGCCACTGTGCCAGGCATCCAGTTACAGTTTTGAATTACACCTACGTACACCTGTATTACTGAACATAGGAAAGAGATATTCATCACAAATCTATGATGGTCATTACATTTATTTCCTTAATCAATAAAAGAGAAAGAACAGGTAGGAAAGATGAGTCATTATTCCCGAGAAACAATCAATCAAGAATATATCTAATCCAAACTAATGATGTGAAATATTTAGTTCTCATGTCAGGTATGTGATTCTGCTTTTACTTGAATAAAATTAAAGTGTGGAAATTGGCCGGGCACAGTGGCTCACACCTGTAATGCACTTTGGGAGGTCGAGGCGGGCGGATCACCTGAGGCTGGGAGTTCGAGACCAGCCTGGCCAATATGGTGAAACTTTCTCTACTAAAAATACAAAAATTAGCCAGGAATGGTGGCGGGCGCCTGTAATCCCAGCTACTGGGGAGGCTGAGGCAGGAGAATCGCTTGAGCCCGGGAGGCGGAGCTTGCAGTGAGCTGAGATCCGGCCACTGCACTCCAGCCTGGGCAACAGAGCGAGACTCCGTCTCAAAAAAAAAAAAAAAAAAAAAGAATAGATGCTGCAGGTCATGAGAAGATAGAAGCTTCCTGAAACGAGCTACATAATCTTCAACAAGAGAAAAACTCCGTGTCAAAAAAAAAAAAAAATTGGGACTTGTTTTACCACCCAATGTATTAGTTCATTCTCACTTTGCTTTAAAGAACTACCTGAGACTGGGTAATTTATAAAGAAAAGAGGTTTAACTGACTCATGGTTCCGCCGGCTACACAGGAAGCACGACTGGGGAGGCCTCAGGAAACGCACCATTGTGGCAGAAGGCGAAGGGGAAGCAGGTGCATCCCACACGGCTGGAGCAGGAGGAAGACAGCAAAGGTGCTACACGCTTTCAAACTCCCCGATCATGTGGGACCGATCATGAAAACAGCAAGAGGGGATCCAACCACCTCCCACCAAGCCCCCTCCCCCAACACTGGGGATTACGATTTGATGTGAGATTTGGGTGGGAACAGAAATCCAGACCGTATCACCCAGTGTATGGTCTGTCTTGCTGAATACACCACGTAGACCTAAAAGTGTACTTTGCAGTTGTTGGATGTGGTGTTCTACAAATGTCAGTTAGATTGAGGTGGCTGATACAGTGGTTCAAATAATTTGTCCTGATTTTTTTGGTCTAGTTTCTGTATTTACTGCTGATAAATGGGTGTTAAAATCTTTTATAATGGCAGAATTTTCATTTTTTTCATGTATTTTAAGGTGCATACATATTTATAAGTGTGCTATCTTCCTGAATGGCCCTTTTTACTATTATAAAATGCTCCTATTTTGTAGCGCTATCTGTTTGAAGTCTTTTTAATCTGATATTTATATAACCATTCCAGCCATACTATGCTAGTGTACACGTTGTATTTTTTCCCATCTCTTTCAATTTATGTCTTTAAAGTTTCTTGTAGGCAGCATATAAATGGGTCTTGATTGCTCTTTAATCGTCAGTCTTGATTAGAATGTTCACACGTCAATAATATAATTGTTGATATGGCTGGACTCAGCATGCCAGCTTACTAGTTTTTTTGTTTGTTCCTCTTTTGGTTTCTGCCAATTCTTTCCCTTTTGAAGTCACTTCTCCAAGTTGTACTCCCCTCCACAGTTGGCCTACCTTTGTTTACATCTCAGGTTTGGGAGAGCTTGCCCCTGTCTTACTGAGCTTACAGCTGTAAGCAGCAGAAGGGATAGGTTGTAGGGGGCTTATGTGGTGACAACAGAACCAGAGCCCCCATCTATGCTTTCATGAAGATCTGGTAGATAATTCTCATTTATGCATAGACAACTTTGAAAGTGTACGTAAGAAGTTGGTAAACGGCCAGGCCCAGTGGCTCACACCTGTAATCCTAGCACTTTGGGAGGCTGAGGCAGGTTTATCACTTGAGTCCAGGAGTTTGAGACCAGCCTGGGTAACAAGGCAAAACCCCACCTCTCAAAAAATACAAAATTAGGGCGTGGTGGCGCCTGTCTGTAGTCCCAGCTACTCTCAGGAGGGTTAGGTAAGAGGATAGCTGGAACCCAGGAGGTGGAGGTTGCAGCGAACTGAAATCATGCCACTGCAATCCAGCCTGGGTGACAGAGCGAGACCATCTCAAACTAAAAAAAGAAAAATGGGTAATTGTGGAGATTTAGAGGGATGACATCTCTGGAGACTAAGAGGAAAATACTCTTTAATACAGACTTTTCTGCACTTCGACTGTATGTGAATATTTTCAAAAAAGGCATTAAAAATTATACAAAGCTGGCCAGGCGCAGTGGCTCACGCCTTTAATCCCAGCACTTTGGGAGGCCAAGGCAGGTGGATCACCTGAGGTCAGGAGTTCAAGACCAGCCTGGCCAACATGGTGAAACCCCATCTCTACTAAAAATACAAAAATTAGCTGGGCGTGGTGGCGGCGCCTGTAATCCCAGCTACTGGGAGGCTGAGACAGGAGAATGGCTTGAACCCGGGAGGCGGAGGTTGCAGTGAGCCAAGATCATGCCATTGCATTCCAGCCTGGGTGACAAGAGCAAAACTCCATCCCAAAAAGGAAAAAAAAAAAAAGGAATATAAACTATCTTGATAATTTTTAATGATTATATGCTAAAATGATAGTATTTAACATATACAGATAAAACACTAAAATTTCACCTATTTTTCACCCTTTACCTTTTAATGTGGCTACAGGGACATTTAAAATTACATATGTGGGGCCAGGCATGGTGACTCATGCCTGTAATCCAGCATCTTGGGAGACCGAGGTGGGCAGATCACTTGAGGTCAGGAGTTCGAGACCAGCCTGGCCAATATGGTGAAACCCCATCTCTACTAAAAATACTAAAATTAACCAGGCATGATGGCCCACACTTGTAATCCCAGCTGCTCAGGAGGCTGAGGCAGGAGAATCGCTTGAACCCAGGAAGTGGGGGTTGCGGGGAGCTGAGATAGCACCACTGCACTCCAGCCTGGACGATAGCAAAGATTCTGTTTCAAAAACAAATAAAATTACGTATGTGGCACATGGTGACATATATTTAGAAATTGCCAGTAGAGGCCGGGCACACTGGCTCACGCCTGTAATCCCAACACTTTGGGAGGCTGAGGCAGGTGGATCAACTGAGGTCAGGAGTTCAAGACCAGCCCGGCCAACATGCCAAAACCCCATGTCTACAAGAAATACAAAAATTAGTCAGGCGTGGTAGTGGGCACCTGTAATCCCAGCTACTCAGAGGCTGAGGTAGGAGAATCGCTTGAACCCGGGAGGTGGAGGCTGCAGTGAGCCGATTGCCCACTTAGAAGACAGCGGCAATCATGTACCTTGGTATTTACCTAAAGAGCTGAAGACCTAGGTTCACAGAAAAAACATGCACACAGGTGCTTATCAGTTTATTCATAACTGCCAAAACTTAGAAGCAACAAGATTACTTAGTAAGTAGGTGAGCTAGATAAACTGTGCTAACTGCAGACAACAGAATATTGTTCTGTGCTAAAAAGAAATGAAGAACACATCATGAAGACATGGAGGAAACAAATGCTATTGCTTAGTGAAAGAGGCCAGCCTGAAAAGGCTATATTCTGATTCCAACTGTAACATTCTGGAAGAGGTAAAATTATGGATATCGTAAGATCTGTGGTTGCCAGGATCTTACAGAAGAGATGGATGAATGGGCAGAGCACAAGATTTACAGCAATAAAACTATTCTGTAAGGTATAGAATGGTATTACGCATTTGTCAAAAACCATAGGAGAACAAACCCTAATAGAAACAGCAGACTAACAGTGCTGACGGCGCTAACGGTGTGCCCACGCAGGCTGTCCACTGTAACAAACACGCCGCTGAGGTGCAAGGTGCTGGCAGTCATGGAGGATGTGTACGCGGCAGAAACGGTGGGTATGTGGGAATTCTGTTTAATTTTGCTATAAGCCTAAAACTGCTCTTTTAAAAAAATTTATCTAAAAACGACAACTCAGTGTTTAAGTATTTTATTAAATCAGATAAGGAATCTCCACATTGTTGCACGTAACAGCTTTTATACAATGATAAGGACATATCATTTGTTTACAAAGAAAGTCTAAAATTTCAACAACATTCAAAGAGCTAACACAGTAAAGGTCATGCAAGTTCTAGAATAGCGAATCGTGACAGAACTCACTAATTGTATCCTTTACCTCCAAAAGGCCCATCTCCTTAACCAGAAGACATCTGAAGACCAGGAGCTTGTCACTAGTCTGGTATTTCATTCAGGAATATTGAGCCTGTTACCACACACTGGCTTGATAGGAAGTAACTCAACCCTACTGTAGAAGAGGGTTTTCTGAAGAGACTGACTGCTGCAAAATGTATGCCTTTTTTTCATGTTGTGTTACACTATGAGTATGTCACACACTTTCATTTAAGTACGTAAGCGTAACACCCAAACCAGGAATCTCGGCTATGACCTTTTCACATAGCTACACTAAATGTCAGTCCAAGATAAAAGAGGAGATTAAAGATAAAACTGAAGATGAAAGAGACTGTGAGTAGTGAAACAATTCCAGTGAGGCTGTAAATCTAGGTGAGTTATACTAAGAACCTCAAGAGACCCCTATGAGCCTCTTCCTAGGAGGCAGTTTCAAACTGCCCTATGACAAACAGCTGATCACGTTTATAACGATGGTTCACTCATGTAGCTTCAAACTTATTCATACCTACATTTAATTTATAACCACGAATGGGTAGGCAGACGTGTCAAAGATCTTCTGGGGACTCTCCCTCCCCACACCCCCCAAACCTCCTATACAAAGTCCCCCTGCTTTAAGTCAAAAGGCCAATTCTGAATTAAAACTTGTCCGCACTAAGTTTATAGGAGGTAACATGCAAATAAGGTGATAAAGTTAAAATGACTTGTCAATAGCAAACATTACAAATGTATGCTACTATCCTGTTAAGTAGAGGACCTGGAGAAACCACAAAGATAACAAAAACCCACGTTAAATTTCAAATTTTGTAGTAATTTCATTTTACAGTGGTTGCATTTACCCACCAAATGCTTAATGACCACAAAATGTTTCTGCAACTAAAACTAAAAGATAGGGAATTATAGGAGTTGGGAATACATGTTAGATACTAACGATCTTCAAGCTTTGAAGATGTCATTGCATGAAGAAAATTATGGGAAACACTGTTCCCGATAATTACTTACACCCTTTAGTGTAACATATGGAGACCACTGTCTCCGATACAGACCCTGTGGTAGGTAAAAACTACCTTGTTCTTTATACATTATGGAAGACACTGCTCCCGATAATGTGTTAGGATTGTGACAAAGGTACTGGAAATTTTGCAAAATGGGAATTAGAGTTATACCTTGGATAAACTGAGCTATAAAATTGTGCAGGAGTACTTCCACAGCCTTTAAGTGACATTTATTTATAACTTGGTCACAATTCATTGCATTTAGGAAAACTAGCATTCTTATCTGGTCAGTGCTCACTTCTTAGCAACCCCTAATTAAATTTAATTCATCTCTAAATCTTAGCTTCAACTTTATTCAATTACATTTGGCTTGCGGCTGTTTTCCAAAACCCCTAAGTGTTGACCATAAATGCAAAACTTCCAGTATCTGTTGAGTTTTATTAGCAGATGCTGCTTTTATTTAAAAAAACCGACAGTATAACTGTCATAATTATGGAAGGCACTGCTTCCGATAATTATATTCTATAAAAAAAAACATCATTTATAGTGAACTCTGTCACTGATAAATAAACAATAAATATCTCAGTGCCAAAAGGACAGAAAGCTCTCCCCTAAGATTAACACTTTGGCCAAAATTTGGCAGTGTATTATTCTTTGAAGTCTGACAAACAGAGTCTGCAACTAAACACCTGAAACTGGTTCTCTTTCAATGTGCTTTGGAAGAAACAAAAATAACAAAGAACTAAATGGAGGCTTATGGGGAAGGGACAGAGGAAAAGAAAATATGCTAAGTCTTTGGCTTCTGGTCCCCTCTTTTCATAAATGACATTGAGGTGAACATATTAAGGCCTTATTCCTGCAATCAACAGTTGAGCCTCATTTGATCCAGCAGAAGGACCTCCATTTCAGACCCCACTGGCAAGAAAACAAGCCCATCTCTTCAGAAAGTTAACTGTTTCTTTCAGGAATGAGGAAACCAGCTACGTTCCTTATGGAAAGGCTCAAATCTCATTTGGAGAAGGTCTGTCGACCTGGTGTCTCCTATCCGGCATCAAATGAAGTTGGAGGATCACTCGAAGAAAGCGACCCCTTACAGCCTTCAGCAGAGACCAGCCCTTAGGGTTCACAGCGATCGCTCACATAACTGGTTTCTGACATTTTCATTAACACCACCAGGAAAGAGGCAGTTACCATTACACAGCACTTACAACTCTAGAGAGGGGAATATGCCATCAGGGACATTTTTTAAGTGGTTATTCGCTTTAACGTGAAGGACAGGTTGTCTACCCTGGATTAAAAGCTGCTGCCTAAAGACATCTAGTAGTACCAAGATGATGGGATGGAATTTTCACATCAGGTTTTGAAGCCCTACTGAAAACGTAGCACAATCAGCACGAGTCTAGAAACTAGACTATCCTGCTGTTCTGACGTAAGCTACGGGTATCACGTTTAAAACTCATTGTCAATGTCCCAAACGTCACCAGAAAGGGCATTTGCAGCTCCCTGAATAGTCCAAGTCGCGAGAGCCAGCTGGTTTCTGAACAGCGTTTCATTAAAAGCACTGTTATTCTGTCTACGCAGTTTCAAGCTCTCCAGTAAAGCGGACAGTGTGTGGGAGCCGGAGCCCCAGAAGACGTGCCGGAAAGGAGACTCTTTTGGAGACACATAGGGTGAGAGGAAGTAATACTCGACCTATAAAACAAAACATCGGGCAATTTACACTGTCCTGTGACTTCTGTAGCAAAACAACTGTTCACTTCCAACATAAAGTTTCCCAAATTAGGAATGCTGATCGCTCTTTTATTTTTTTTTGAGACAGAGTTTCTCTGTTGCCCAGGCTGGAGTGCAATAGCACAATCTCGGCTCACCGCCACCTCTACCTCCTGACTTCAAGCAATTCTCCTGCCTCAGCCTCCTGAGTAGCTGCGATTACAGGCGCCGCCACCACACCGACTGATTTTTGTATTTTTAGTAGGGACGGGGTTTCTCCATGTTGGTCAGGCTGGTCTTAAACTCCGGACCTCAGGTGATCTGCTTGTCTTGGCCTCCCACAGTGCTGGGATGACAGGCGTGAGCCACTGAGTCCAGCAGCTGATCAGACTTTCTGTAGCAGAGTGAGGAAAACAGAATGCTGGGAACCAGGCTAATGCTAATCTTCTAAGGTTAAAATTCTAAAGGAGGCCGGGCACAGCAGCTCACGCCTGTAATACCAGCACTTGGGGAGGCAGAGGCCGGTGGATCACCTGAGGTTGGGAGTTCAAGACTGGCCTGGCTAACATGGTGAAACTCCGTTTCTACTAAAAATACAAAAAATGAGCCGGGCGTAGTGGCGGGCACCTGTAATCCCAGCTACTCGGGAGGCTGAGGCAGGAGAATCACTTGAACCCAGGAGGCAGAGGGTGCAGTGAGCCGAGATTGCGCCACTGCACTCCAGCTTGGACAACAACAGTGAAACTCCGTCTCAAAAATAAATAAATAAATAAAAAGTTTAAAGGAAACGGATTCATTTTACAAAGGAAAACTTTAAATGTGTTCAGATTCTTTTCCCCACTGGAGTATACCCGGAAGGTTTACAGCCAAGTCTCTTCCAAGAAGACTAGGTTTGGCCAAGGTCTGAATGAGCAGAAATAGAAAATGACAGCTAAGCCATTAATGCTCCTTCTTCCCTTCTTAACGGAATTCTAGACTCCTAGAGTTTGTCCACTCTGCGGAAGTGGAAGATTTATCCACTAAAATTTTACACATTCTTTAGTTCCTCCTTTCCCAAAAGTTCACTTACTCTCATGACACGATCATTGAGCTTCTTCATGACAAACTTGTCCGTTTTCTCAGCATTCCTGAAATCTGTTGTTAGCCTGGAAGTAGCACGGAAAAAGTCTCCACGAGCAGAATACAGCCACTGCAAGCTCAGGCCCATTTCCTGAAACAGACATTCTTCGCTATGAGAAGTTTTGTTTCTAAGGACGCTCTTTTGCGTGCCTTTCTAATTTAACGTGTTAATAAGATTCTGATAAAAGGAACTCGCAGATAAGCTCAAGACTCCAAAAGCACCTTGCACAGGGTTCCAAGCTCTACAGACTGTGATATACACTCTATTTCAGCCCAGCATGTAAGAAAACCATTCTCATTAGGAATTTAAACATAATTATACAATCCTATGTACTAGATTGTTTCCAGTTCAATTCTCCTTCTGGGGGAAAACTTCCCTCTAGGGGAAAACACTGTGGTTCAATGTACTTCAGGATCGTTATCTCCATCTGGTAAGTTCCATTTTCAACAGTTACAATTAGTTTCAAGAAAGACATAAGGGGCCAGGCGTGGTGGCTCACACCTGTAATCCCAGCACTTTGGGAGGCTGAGGCGGGTGGATCACCTGAGGGAAGGAGTTTGAAACCAGCCTGTCCAACAGGGTAAAACCTCAGCTCTACTAAAAATACAAAAACTATCCAGGCATGGTGGCACACGCCTGTAATCCCAGCTACTTGGGGAGCTGAGGCAGGAGAATTGCGTGAACCCGGGAGGCGGAGGTTTCAGTGAGCCGGGATCATACCATTGCACTTCTGCCTGGGGGACGAGAGTGAGACTTTGTCTCTCAAAAAAAAAAAATAAATAAATAAAAAAATAAAGAAAAAAAAAGACAAACATAAAAAGATTTGGTTATCAGTGATTTACTTCAATTAAGAGATCTGTTAAAAAATCAACTCCTAGTACCATAAAACTATCTGGAAGCCACTTAATATTAATTTTATTAATTTATTTAGAGATGGGATTTTGCTATGTCGACCAGGCTGGGCTCCAGTAATTCTCCTGCCTCAGCAGAAGTAGCTGGGGCTACAGGCGTGCACCACCTCACCCTGCTTATCAGTTTCACTTAATGGAATATTTGAATTTTAGATGCACAGGATCAATACGAGACAGAATCCTACTAGCTGTGCTGTCTTTCCATCCACGTCATGTCTGAAACGCACACAGCCCAACTCCTTGCTGAGATCGTCATATTCTGTGACGGGCTGCCTGGGAGACATGAGTGATAGAAAACCTGACATTGCTCTAGATTCTGAAATACTGCTGAGCTCTGTCCTATGTCTCTGATCCACAGCCTCCCAACTTCTGTCAAACAAGTTACAAATTCTATGTAAAATTGTGCCTCCGTTCACTTTAAAACGTACTTTGGCTACAATCATCCTTCCACCCACCAGGAACACATAGGAACACATCACACTTCAAACTACCTGACATTCAGCAGTAAAAACATACTTGGAATCAGTGCTCACCTTTACATCTGCTCTGTACTGGTTCAGATCCCTCAAAAACAAAAGCAGCTGGCTGTTGTACCTCTCATAGTCCAGGTTCAATTCAATATCTTGGGTCAGTTTAATCACGAACTGACCAGCTACTTCTGCCGCTGCTCGTGCCACTTTGTTCAGCTCAGGAATCCTCTCCACCAGTTCCTTATAGGTGTCCATGGTGGTGCCCAAGTAAGGATAATCTGTGTCCTGCAAGAAAAAGCGAGGCTATGGCACTCACGTGAGGTCTACCAGCAAGAGCCTCACATTCTGGCTTCCCCATCGAGGTAAGTTACTACAGCTCCCCGCTGCTTCTAACACATTCCCACCCCCATGTGATCTGGTTATCTGCTGCTTTAAGTACATTCTTGCTACTTCTCTGAATCTAACCTACTCCTAGAGTGATGACTTTCTTCCAGGTTCTACAGAATCCGTCCTGTCGTATCACATGCCTTGAACAGATTTCTAGCCAAATTCCTTAAGGCTGTACGTTTTTCATTCTGGGAAGTTTGGGCCTTTATCATGGAAAAAGAGAACACACATGAAATGTACCTTGAGACGAGGTCTCACTCTGTCACCCAGGCTAGCGTGTGCTGATGCAATCCTGGCTCTCTGCAGGCTTGAGCTCCTGGCTCAAGGGACACCCCCTGCCTCAGCCTCCCAAGAAGCTGGGACTACAGATGCCACTGGGCAGCTTAATTTTACCCAGACTGGTCTCACTCCTGGCCACCTCAGCCACCCAATGTGCTGGAATTATAGGTGTGAGCTATTGTACCCAGCCTGATGAAAATACTGTTCAGCTGGACTGTCCAATAGGCAGGCCACTGCTCAATCACTCAAGAAAATCAGCCTCGTTTTTTTGTTGTTGTTAGACAGAGTCCTGCTCTGTCGCCCAGGCTGGAGTGCAATGGCGCAATCTCGGCTCACTGCAACCTCTGCCGCCTGGGTTCAAGCGATTCTTCCACCTCAGCCTCCTGAGTAGCTGGGATCATAGGCATGAGCCACCACACCCAGCTAATTTTTTTGTATTTTTAGTAGAGATGGGGTTTCACCACGTTGGCCAGGCTGGTCTTCAACTCCTGACCTCAAATGATCCACCCACCTTGGCCTCCCAAATGCTGGGATTACAGGTGTGACCCACCACACTCATTATTAAAACTCATACTTAAAGAAGTTTTAGTAATAAACTCAAATGCTAATTAAGCTAATTGAAATTAATAAGTCTATATTAAAACTGATAATGAAGGAACATGCAATAATTACATGTGTATAACTTTTTTTTTGAGACAGGGTCTCGCTCTGTCGCCCAAGCTGGAGTGCAGTGGCTCCATCTCAGCTGACTGCAACCTCCACCTCCCCGGTTCAAGCCATTCTCCTGCCTCAGCCTCCTGAGTAGTGGGCTTACAGGTGCCCACCACCACATCCGACTAATTTTTTGTATTTTTAGCAGAGACGGGGTTTCAACATTTTGGTCAGGCTAGTCTCAAACTCCTGACCTCGTGATCTGCCTGCCTTGGCCTCCCAAAGTGCTGGGATTAAGGGAGGAGACCACCCCTCATATTGTCTTATGCCCAATTTCTGCCTTCAAAGAAAGAAGTAGAAACTAAAAGGCAGAGGCAGACAGCCCCGCGCTGCACCCTGGGCCTAGTTAAAGATCGACCCCTGACCTAACGGGTTATGTTATCTATAGATTCCAGACATTGTATGGAAAAGCATTGTGAAAATCCCTGTCCTGTTCTGTTCAAATTACCAGTACATACAGCCCCCAGTCACGTTCCCACTGCTTGATGATCAACTATGACCCTCTCACGCCGACCCCCTTAGAGTTGTGAGCCCTTAAAAGGGACAGAATTGCTCACTCAGGGAGCTCAGTTTTTGGAGACGTGAGTCTTGCCAAAGCTTCCAGCCCAATAAAGTTCTTCCTTCTTTAACTCGGTGTCTGGGGGGTTTTGTCTGCGGCTGGTCCTGCTACAGGATTATAGACGTGAGCTACCACGTCCGGCACTTGTATATAACTTCTTAAAACATTACCATCCTGGCTAACAGAGTGAAACCCCGTCTCTACTAAAAAAATACAAAAAACTAGCCGGGCGAGGTGGTGGGCGCCTGTAGTCCCAGCTACTCGGGAGGCTGAGGCAGGAGAATGGCGTAAACCTGGGAGGCGGAGCTTGCAGTGAGCTGAGATCCGGCCACTGCACTCCAGCCTGGGCGACAGAGTAAGACTCCGTCTCAACAAAAAAAAAAAAAAAAAAAAAAACATTTTAAGCACTCCAGTAAACTTGGTCTCAAAGTTGACACAAGAAGATCCATGGCTAGGTGTAGTAAGTAGCTCTTGCCTGTAATCCGAACGGTTTGGAGGCTGAAGGGGGAAGACGGCTTGAGGCTGCAGTGAGCCATGATTGGGCCACTGTACCCCAGCCTTGGTGACACAGCAAGACATCATTGTCAAAAAACAAACAAAAAAACCCCAACAACTAAGATACGTGCAAAAGCAAAATGGAGTCACTAGTGTTAACAAAAATGCAACCCTGAAGAGAAGGGTCTCACCCTTCTATGTCTGATAACAAGGACTAAGGGTTTTTGTTTTCCTTTTTACGAAAACTACAACCTTACACAGAGGCCACTGCCACCTTGCACCAAAAAAATTCTCCTGTGAGAAAATCTGCCGAGCAACTGCCTGTAAACCTTGACTGATCTTGGTAGTCAAGAATAATTACCTCAAAATAATTATGTAATCCTTGTCATTTGTCCTTTAAAAACTTGCTTTCCTTTACCTCTCTCAATAAAGCACATTCCCATGTACTTTCCCATTCCCAAATAAAGATCATTTCTTTTAGAGAGCCTCTCTCCACTTGTCATTTAAATGAACTGATGGAATGCTTTTGGTTTTGGGTTCCTCAGACTTACCTCACAAAAACAGAAAGAAACTGCTGGGATTCCAGAATACGCAAGGAAAGGGAAAGCAGCATTGTCTAAAGTGAGTTTCTCACTGCAAGAAGAAAGGATGTGTCTTTAGAAAGTTTTCTAAAGAAGACTGTTCTATCATGCTAGTCCTCACATCCGAAATAAATTCTTCAGTTGAGTATCTTTAGGTGTAAGTAAGCTCAATGCAAGGACAGATTTGGATTCTACCTGACACAGGAGGCAGAATCTCTGCTTTTCTATTAGTTTGTTCATTCACTTTTCTCAACTTACACTTTGCTGGCCCAGTTGCTGTCCTGATACAGAGATCGCCCAGTAACCGGATGTTTCACCTGTAAGATAAGAAATTATCATTAAAACTAACCTTTTGGAACTTATTTATTCAGGCTAGTCACTAACATGTTACTCTACAGAAATTTATAAATAGAAAACTTGTATTATATCTTCTTGAAAAGAAATTATTTATGACAGTTAAAACAGTCTCAATTTTAAGTTATTACTAACTAGGCTCATGTTTTCAGTTCCTTTAGTTATGGTTAGGAAAAAATGTTTCCTTCTTAATTAACATTTTAAAAGTGGGCCTAGGCCAGGTGGGGTAGTTCACACCTGCAATCCCAACACTTTGGGAGGCCAAGGTGGGAGACCACTTGAGCCCAGAAGTTTGAAACCAGCCTGGGCAACAGAGCAAGACCCTGTCTCTTAAAAAAAAAAAAAAAAAAAAAAGCCGGGCACAGTGGCTCATGCCTGTAATCCCAGCACTTTGGGAGGCCGAGTGGGATGATCACATGGTCAAGAGATCGAGACCATCCTGGCCAACATGGTGAAACCCCATCTCTACTAAAAATACAAACATTAGCCAGGTGTGGTGGTGCATGCCTGTAATTCCAGCTACTCGGGAGGCTGTGGCAGGACAATCACTTGAACCCAGGAGGCGGAGGCTGCGGTGAGCCAGGATTGCTCCACTACACCCCAGCCTGGGCAACAGAGGGAGACTCCATCTCAAAAAAAAAAAAAAAGCACCCAAAAAACCACGGTGGCATACCCACAATTGTAAAATCCCTCTTTAGGCTCCATAATATGCCTATCTTGTTTCTGGTTTCTTCCTTCTAGTGCATCTTATGCCACCAACCTAACTGGTAAATTCATTATTGCCTTGCTTGAGATCCTATAATCCCTAGTATCCCTTGGGATCAAAGCCAATATCTGCTGTCTGACCTGTATCTAACTTTACTCACTCCAATACACAGCCTCTAATCCCATTAAGCAAATGTTTTCCTTCATATGCTGCTCCCTCACTCAAAACTATGGTAATTCTTTATTCAATGAATATTTCATACGGCTTTCTCAAAGTATAGTTCAAGTTGATTTCAGCCTTCCTTAGCATTGTGACTCTACAGACAATCCCCTGTGGGCACCTGCACTACAGCTCAGGCCTCGTGGCATTTTGTTATATATTCCTAAAGAGATGACATATTTTTTGAGATTGCAGCCCTTCATATACCTCCTCATCTCATATGGTTCAACAGGCAAGTATCTCTTTAATGACGCTGCTATAGAATTTATTCTCAATTCCTAGTTTTTGTTACTGACTATGGTTTTACATATCAGTGTTTTTTATCTCAGGTTGATTCAACAAAAAATTAAGTCATCCATTTTTGTAATGAGGTATATACTCACATCTTGCATTGTTTTCTCAATCAGCGTATACAACAACGGGCTGGCAGAAACCTTGAAGTTGCTGGTACCTGAAAAGAAATTATTTTATCATTGCCCCTTCTCCACTCCAGTAATTTTCACACTGCTACTTCTACAAGTACTTGACAAATAAGACAGTAATCTACATCAGTGGCCCTACACAACAGCTATCCTATTCATCAAGTAGACAAAAGTAATTTTGGTATCAAGTTCTTTAGCAACTATGATAACTTGACTCAAGTGAGGCTCTTACTACTCCTTGAGTTTGCATACTTTAATCCTAGTGATCTTTTTAAAAATATCAGCAGTTTTAGGTTCAGCAGCAAAATTAAGATAAAGGTACCTAGAGGTCCCATAAATCCACTGCCCCCACACATGTGCAGCCTCCCCCATTAGCAATTTCACATTTAACTTTCTGGTTCACCCAGGTTAGAGCTACAACATGCTTGCTATACTCAGCACATTCTGCTGCAAACATACAACAGGGAAATAACTAACCTAGAGGCTTAATTGTAACTCTTTCCTTTTTTCCCCCATGTAGACATTTCACTATTCTCAGTTCATCAGCTACATCTGCACTTTCTTTACCCCATTCCTGTTGAATGTAATCTGCACTTTAAATAACACTCAAACTCTGTCAATTTTCTGCTGCCAGTGAACATTCAAACTCTTCTAGAAGTTTGATTATCCAATATTTCTATCAGTGATGCCACAACATAACAGGATGTGAATTACTCTCTAAGTACCATTCTATATGGCATAGTTTAGTTTCTTCTCACCTCAAAATAGTCCAGTCCTTATGGTCCTAAAACTGTAGTGCATCAGAATTACCTGGCATGCTTGTTAAAGTTTTTTGTTTATTTGTTTGGGTTTCTTTGCTTCAGGATACTTTGTCCTTAAGAAAATAGTAAGTTTTTATTCCCCAAAGGTTGCCCAAAAAAAAGCCCAGTTTTTTTGTTTGTTTCTTTGAGATGGAGTCTCGCTCTGTCACCCAGGCTGGAGTGCAAAGGCACCATCTCGGCTCACTGCAACCTCTGCCTCCCGGGTTTAAGTGATTCCCCTGCCTCAGCCTCCTGAGTAGCTGGGATTACAGGTGCCCACCACCACGCCCAGCTAATTTTTGTATTTTTAGTAGAGATGGGGTTTCACCATGTTGGCCAGGCTGGTCTCGAACTTCTGACCTCAGGTGATCCGCCTGCCTTGGCCTCCCCAAGTGCTGGGATTACAGGCGTGCGCCACCATGCCCAGCCAAAAAAGCCCAGATTTTAGACCAACACTCCCATTTCTGACTCAAAGGTCTGGGGTGGACCTGAAAGTTTGCATTGTAACAGTTCCTGATGCTGCTGATCTGGGGGCCACATTGAGAACCACCCACTGCTCTAGACAAGGCAATATGTGTTCATTGTGTAACTTGACCGACTATTTAAAGGAAGGTTAAGATACAGGCTGAGGGCAATGGCTCACGCATGTAACCGCAGCATTTTGGGCAGCTGAAGTAGAATGCCTGAACTCAGGAGTTTGAGACCAGCCTGTGCAACACGGCAAAACCCCATCTCTATAAAAAAAAATTAGCCAGGTGGCTGAAGTGGGAGGATCACCTGAGCCCAGGAGGTCAAGGCAGCAGTGAGCCAAGATTGCGCCACTGCACTCTAGCCTGAGCAATCGAGTGAGACCCCGTCTCAAAAAAAAGCTTCCTTCCACTTCAAAGTAGTTTACCCGGCCAGGCATGGTGGCTCACGTCTGTAATCCCAGGCCAAGGCAGGCGAATTGCCTGAGGTCAGGAGTTCGAGACCATCCTAGCCAACATAATGAAGCATAGTCAATTTTTTGTACTAAAAATACAAAAAATGGCCGGGCGCGGTGGCTCAAGCCTGTAATCCCAGCACTTTGGGAGGCCGAGACGGGCGGATTACGAGGTCAGGAGATCGAGACCATCCTGGCTAACACGGTGAAACCCCGTCTCTACTCAAAATACAAAAAACTAGCCAGGCGAGGTGGCGGGCGCCTGTAGTCCCAGCTACTCGGGAGGCTGAGGCAGGAGAATGGCGGGAACCCGGGAGGCGGAGCTTGCAGTGAGCTGAGATCCGGCCACTGCACTCCAGCCTGGGCGACAGAGCCAGATTCCGTCTCAAAAAAAAAAAAATTAAAAAAAATAAAAAATAAATAAAAATACAAAAAATTAGCTGGGCGTGGTAGTGAGCACCTGTAATCCCAGCTACTTGGGAGGCTGAGGCAGGAGAATCACTTGAACCTGGGAGGCGGGGCTTGCAGTGGGCCAAGATTGTGCCATTGCACTCCAGCCTGGGCGACAAGAATGAAACTCCATCTCAAAAAAAAAAAAAAAAGTAGTTTACCTGAATTCATAAACAGCTAAAGAAAGGGATACTTACCAAGCACCGCTTTATCCAGATTAATATAAGTGAAAGCCTTTAAATGCAAGGATGAAAGGTATCCCTAGAAGAGAAAACACTAATAAGTACAAATCTGTTCATTTATCACATACAGTAGCAATAGGGATTCATTTTCAATTCTGGACTCTATTGAGACTAAGCGCAAAGGCAAAAATGGTAAAATCAAACCTATAAGAACATCATTTCTGGCCGGGCGCGGTGGCTCAAGCCTGTAATCCCAGCACTTTGGGAGGCCGAGACGGGCGGATCACGAGGTCAGGAGATCGAGACCATCCTGGCTAACACGGTGAAACCCCGTCTCTACTAAAAATACAAAAAACTAGCCAGGCGAGGTGGCGGGCGCCTGTAGTCCCAGCTACTCGGGAGGCTGAGGCAGGAGAATGGCGTAAACCCGGGAGGCGGAGCTTGCAGTGAGCTGAGATCCGGCCACTGCACTCCAGCCTGGGGGACAGAGCGAGACTCCGTCTCAAAAAAAAAAAAAAAAAAGAACATCATTTCTGGAGGACAGCCTGAACCCACAAGCTCAGGTGCCCAATATGGGAATAGATGATGATAAAGAATACCTCTAGCCATTCAGTGGCACCAACCGATCCAAAGTCTCCAGCACTCCAACTGGCAAAGATAATGCTTCTGCTGGGCTGAAACCCATCTGAAAGAGAAGAAAGTTAGCTTTATCTTGGGAACTGTTATACACGGGCAAGGATGGAAGGTATCCTACTTCAGATGAATCAGAAAGTCTAACTCCAAGATAGCAGATTCCAAAATCTTTTCTGAGCCAAAAAAGAAAAAAAAAATACTAACAAAATCTTTGAGACTCCAGGTGAAAGAATAAAAGAATAGGAATAATTTTTTTTTAAGCAACCTACAAAAAGCAATATAGGAGATCTGCAAATAAGATTTCGAGTACATAGCAGGGGCCAGTAGTCGCCCTTTTACAATTTCATTCTTTCAGTTCCTTAACTTCTGGACCCAGAGATCACTGAAAACAGTGTAAGCATGATGATGCACATCTTGAGAATAATTTGCATAGAAGTAAATCAAAACATTGGATTTTTAAAAAATAACTCTAAAATAAAATAAAAATTCACAAATTTAAGTTATAAGAAGAGTTTGCAGAGAAACTACACTTGTGACAGCGCCTTTTGGGGATACATGTATCACTGCCCTCCATCCCACCCACTTCCCTCAGTATTTTTTTTTCTCCATTAATGTACTCTGTATTAAAGATAAGCACTGCAATTTGCCCTGTGACCCAAAGATTCAAGAATATGATGATTTTGAATGTGTGGGTGGGTAGGAGTGTGAAAGAGTGGCAAGCAGGTCAGAAAGGCTCAAAAATAAAACAGGCGGGGCACGGTGGCTCACTCGTAGCAGTTTGGGAGGTTGAGGCGGGTGAATCACTCGAGGTCAGGAGACCAGCCTGGCCAACATGGTGAAGCCCCGTCTCTACTAAAAATACAAAAATTAGCCAGGCGTGGTGGTGGGCGCCTGTAATCCCAGCTACTCAGGAGGCTGAGGCAGGAGAATGGCTTAAAGTCAGGAGGAGGAGGTTGCAGTGAGCTGAGATCGTGCCACTGCACTCCAGCCTGGGCAACAGAGTTAAACTCTGTCTCAAAAAATAAATGAATAAACATAACAAAATTTCAATAGCTGTTAGGCCTCAGTACATGAGTATAGAGGTATGCTACTGCTTTCAAATAGATTACTTAGGGACTATGGTCCGCCTTATCATGCTGGATACATCAAACTAAGCACTAGGGCTCAATAATCCACTGTCTCAAAGAAACTGGTGATTTTCAGCACAGCTAAGACATTTTATGGAAAGCTGTTTCAAAGAAAAAGGCAGCTACAACAAAAGACAATCTGCCTTGTATTTAAGAACTAGAGTCTGGCATAAGGGAACCACAGGAATGCAGGCAAAGCGAGCAAAGCACAGTACAACATCTAGAACCATCTGTAGTGCACCAATATTCAAAGGAACCAAAATTTGTACTCTACCTTTTAAGACCATATCTGAGAACATCTGGGCAAGTTTCAACAGGAGAGCTGTCCCCACACTGGATTTTGCAGCTCCGGGGCCCCACGCATCTCTCTGGGCCCCAACCACAACATAGTGATCTTTAAAAACAAAAGAGGAAGAATTTAAATAAGCTTCTAAACTTTTCTACAATTAGCACATCAGTAGAAAGGTAAAAGTGCAGTATATGTATTAAGAATAAAAGCACCTTACTTCAAATCTGACTAAAAACTCTGGGAATTAAAAATTCACATTACTTTACTAGTAGAGCTACTTTTTTCCTACACTAATAAGTAAATTTACTGACTACTTAAGTGAAAGAATAAAAGAACAGGAATAATTTTTTTAAGTAACCTACAAAGAGCAGCAATATGGGAGATCTGCAAATAAGACTTTGAGTATGTAGCGGGGCCAGTAGTCATTTTCTTATTTCTTAGTAGGTGTTGGCTATTTGATTGCATTTAAACTCAACTCCAGGGACTGGCAAACTACAGCCTGCATACCCATTCATTACGTACAGTCTATGCCTATTTTCTTGCTTCTACAGAGTTGAACAGCTAAAACAGAGACTGTATAGCCTGCAAAAGGTTTATTATCTGCCCCCTTAAGAAATTTGCTTATCACTGGTCTAGTCAAAAACTTAGAATAGATTTTCTAGTCACAATGGTCAATTTTTAACAAGAATTTCCTAGGGCCTTATTACCTCCCAGTAAAACTGACACATAGGCCAGGCACAGTGGCTCACACCTGTAATCCCAGCACTTTGGGAGGCCGAGGCAGGCAGATCACGTGAGGTCAGGAGCTGACCTCATAGAGCCTGACCAACATGGAGAAACCCTGTCTACTAAAAATACAAAATTAGCCAGGCATGGTGGTACACGCCTGTAATCCCACCTACTGGGGAGGCTGAGGCAGGAGAATCGCTTGAACCTGGGAGGTGGAGGTTGCAGTGAGCCGAGATCGCACCACCGCACTCCAGCCTGGGCAACAAGAGTGAAACTCCTTCTCAAAAAAACAAAAAAATCTGACATATAAACAATTCACTTTAGGACAGATAAGATTAAGCACTTCATAAAACCAAGCCAAGCCAGCATCGTACACTCCCTCCTTCCCTAGCCACATCCTTAAGAACAGCAAAGAAAACAACAACAACAACAACAAAAAAAAACCAAGAGGGGTGGGGGCGGTCTTTACCTGGTTCTACGAAGCCTTTAATAACTCCAAAGATGTTAAGAATTTTTGTCTCTTTCAGCACATTGCTCACCGTGAGCTTCACACTCTTGTTTTCCGAGGTTACCATCTTACACGTAGAGTCTGTTTTCCAGTCAGAGGGACAGTCTCCCTCCATATTTCTAGAACCAGAAAGTTCTGAGTTATTGTTCCTTGCCCAAAGTTTACTTTTGTCTAGTGAGGCTCTAGATTAAGAGGACATATAAACAAAACTTACTCTCGGGCAGGCGCAGTGCCTCACCCCTTTAATCCCAGCACTTTGGTAGGCCGAGGCAGGTGGATCACAAGGTCAGGAGTTCAAGACCAGCCTGACCAACATGGTGAAACCCCGTTACTACTAAAAATACAAAAATTAACTGGGCATGGTGGCGGGTGCCTGTAATCCCAGCTACTCAGGAGGCTGAGGCAGGAGAATCGCTTGAACCTGGGAGGCAGAGGCTGCAGTGAGCCGAGATCACACCATTGCACCCTACCCTGGGCAACAGAGCAAAATTCCTGTCTCAAAAACAAAAACAAAAACAAACTTACTCTGTAGTGGTGAACCATTTGTGTCTTACTTTGATCTGTAGGCAGCCAACTGAAAACCATGAATTCCTAGTTTAAGCAATATTTTACAAAACTTCTAACTGTCCTCATCTGATATATGCCTTTCCGCCAGATATAGTTATGTAGTTTATATTTTAAATACATACCAAGATGGACTCAAAATGAAGTTCTTTTAATATATAAAAGGATATTAATACATTTTTATGTTTCCCAACTGTCACCACTAATAAGGATAGTATACATTCTTATCTCAGTTATAAAAAATATTCCTCAGCTGGGTGCAGTGGCTCATGCCTGTAATCCCAGCACTTTGGGAGGCTAAGGCAGAATTCCTTGAACCCAGGAGGTGGAGGTTGCAGTGAGCCAGGATCACACTACTGTACTCCAGCCTGGGCAACAGAGTAATACTATCACCAAAAAAAAAAAACAAAAAACAAAATCCTATGCTTCCCCCATCTAATTCCTCTGTGTTACCCCAAATAATAGCTGTTCCTAAGGGGGCTTAATTACACAAATATAGGTTGAAACATTATTACTCCCCTACTACATAAGGGTAAGATGCGTTGGTTACGACTTGTAGGTGGTAGGTAGAATGAGTCAACAAAAATCACCTATGCTAAAGGCCTCCTAGCATTATCAATGATCATAGTATGTTACACACTCCTTCCTATGCTAAAGGCCTCTTAGCATTATCAATGATCATAGTATGTTACACACTCCTTCCTATGCTAAAGGCCTCTTAGCATTATCAATGGCCATAGTATGTTACACACTCCCTCCCCTACGCTAAAGGCCTCTTAGCATGATCAATAGTCATGGTATTTCACATAGTCCTTACATACAGACGTTCTTCATTTGAGACTATCAAGTAGAATATATTTTCACTATCCAATTATGTTAAAGAAACAGGATCAGAGAGCCTATGTCATACAGGAGATAAATGCTTTCATAAAGGTCTGAAACTCGATCTCTATCCTATAACAGGAACTGAGAAATATGTCCACATCCAAATCAAAATTAATGCTACGTACTGTAACGGAACTGGGCTGTTTTTAAAGAGGAACACTAACACTACAGGGAGGATATCCAGGAGCGCCATGACCATAAATGGTTTCTCTGGAAACCAGCATGAGAAGTGAGGCTTCTCAATCTACAGACAAGGAAACTGGAATCATCCCGTGTTGCTTAGAAGAAAAATCCAGACAAATGGATGTTTCAGGGAATGGGATTTTATCCCAATATGAATTCTAACAGATTCTCTCCACTAACCGAATGGGTTGCCACAGGCATCGTGCCTCAGCACAGAAGTACTTGAGCAGAAGTTATGCCAGGAATCTTGCACAAGGAATTCACTGGGGTTGTAAGTCTCCTTATTCTCCTGCATTTGTAAGTCCATTATTAAGATCTCTTTATAGAGAAAAATTCATTTTTATCTATACCAAGGTAATAGCTAACTATCTTCCAAATTCCCAAATGTGGAAAATTATAATCATGTTTAACATTTTAATCAACGTATTACCGTTCTTCCCTAACCATAAAACCTCACCCTGCAAGACAGCTTTCAAATAAAAACTTACCCAAACAGCTTTTCTGCAGCAGCTCTGGAGATCGTTTGGACAGGTATATTAGGCAATCCTGACGACTGAGATGGTGGAAACTGAGTGTGATTGAAGGAAGGGAATCCAGGTGTGTAAGGGTCACCTGTTCCCAGATGAGCCTAGGAAAACAAAGAGCAATTCGCTCCATCACATACTTCCTCAAAAGTTCTCTGTAAGATTCGGAGTTGGTATAAGATTCGGATTTGGTATAAGGCTGCAGCCCAACCTTAGTTTACCAACTTGAAGCCTCAAAAATCTGAGTGGCTCTACAATGTGACTCCTGTTTTCATGGCACATGGAAATTCTCAGTTCAAGGTACTATTGATAAAGTACTTTTACCAACAAATAATAAAGCCTCAAAGTCAATGTAATCTATCTTCTTGCTTACTGCTAATGCCCTCCCAGAAAAAGAGCATTTAAGGAAGACACAGTGCTATTTCTGCTAATGTAGGAATCCAAGAACAATTCAAAGAACTCAAAACGGCGATTTACTCAAGAAATAACTCACATGTCCGAAGAATGAAAGGTCTGCCTTAACAATGGGAAATTTAGTCCGGTCCATATATATCAAGACACCAATTGCATTTAAGCTTTCAGCATTTGCAACCTAAAAGAAAACATATAAAGCTCAGAAAATGAAAATCTGATCATATGAAATGAGAATACATCTTGGACATTATGCTAAAGGCCAAACGGTTACAGAGGACTAAACTCAGAATACTTCCAAATATTTCAAATTGTTTATCTAGTAATGTGTTGTTAATTGTTTCCTGAAAAATTAACTCACTTGTTTGCAAAGTAAAAATAACAGGCCGGGCGTGGTGGCTCACGCCTGTAATCCCAACACCTTGCAAGGCTGAGGCAGGCAGATCATGAGGTCAGGAGTTTGAAACCAGCCTGGCCAACATGGTGAAATCCTGTCTGCACTAAAAATACAAAAATTTGCTGGGCTTAGTGGCAGGCGCCTGTAATCCCAGCCATTCGGGAGGCTGAGGCAGGAGAATTGCTTGAAACTGTAAGGCAGAGGTTGCAGTAAGCCACTGCACTCTAGCCTGAACAAAAGAGCAAAACTCCGTCTCAAAAAAAAAAAAACAAAGAATAACGAAGGCCAGGAGTGGTGGCTCACGCCTGTAATCCCAGCAATTTGGGAGGCCGAGGCAGGCGGATCACCTGAGGTCAGGAGTTCAAGACCAGCCAGGCCAACTTGGTGAAATCCCCTCTCTAATAAAAATGCAAACATTAGCCAGGCATGGTGGCAGACACCTGTAATCCCAGCTACTCAGGAGGCTGAGGCAGGAGCATCACTTGAACCCGGGAGGCAGAGGTTGCAGTGAGCTGAGATCATGCCACTGCATTCCAGCCAGGGTGACAGAGACTCCATCTCAAAAAAAAAGAAAAGAAAAGAAAAGAAAAGAAAAATAACAAAAACCCATCTAAGACAACCACTTTTTTGAGTCCCACTGTCACCCAGGCTGGAGTGGCACAAGTCACATCTCACAGCCTCCAGGGCTCAAGCAGTCCTCTCACCTCAGCCTCTCAAAGTGTTGGGATTACAAGTGTGAGCCCTGCCACTTCTTTAAAAATGCAGAAATCACCACTGTCCTTTGATATGTTCCAATCTAGTTCCTTGTGTATGTTTGGCTATTTATTTTCCTTTTTATAAAACATGCTTTTAACTGTATTCTGTATATGCATAAAACTGAGTTATACAGACAAACAGCTTTCACTTAAGCATTTCTGATTAGGGAAGTGGAACTTATTTGATTTGCTTAGCACTTTTAATAAATTATATTATCTGGTATGAGAGTTTAAGATCGCTGGTTTTCAGAATGTAAGAATATTAACAAGAAATATAACTTACCTGAAGAGTAAGATACCAAAGTACTGTATTGAATATTATATATATATATATAAAATAACCCACACTCACCTTTTCTGCAAAGGTGATTTTTCCTGCTCTGACAATCACTATAGATCCATTCACAGGAGAGTCTAAATCCTCAAAGTCTTTTTTAGTACCAAAATTAGCATGGACCAGTTTACCCTAGAACAAAGACATTAGATTTAATGAGCATTATGGTATTGGAACAGCTCTAAAATCTTGAGACAAAAGAGTTTTATAGATCAAACCTAAGACAGGCAACCCAAGTAAGAGATAAAAGGAGGCCAAGGCCTAAAAAAGACATGAGTTCTAAAAAACTTTATAATTTTTAGGTCAGAGATATTAGAATAAAATCAAGAGTTTTAGCCTCCTATGTCTTTCATGCTTTTATTCCACGCTGCCTTTCATGTAAAGGGCATTTAGATTAAAGAGGCCTATGCAGGCTGGTCATGGGACTGGAGGCCTGGAACAATCTTCGCCTTGAGGACATCATAGAAAGAGGTTTTAACCCAAAGACCTGACAATACATCTGTCCCAAAATTAAAACACCATCTATTACAACAAAGTGACTTGCATACACCAACTTTGGATGTGTCATTATGTTCCTAAGCTAAGAAGAGTCCAGATGAACAGCTATAAACAGACACTAACACCAAGCACCTGAACACAGAAAGCTGGAAGCTGAAGAAAAATCTTCAATGTTCTTTAACAGAACAATCTACCATCTCTAAACTCCTGGCTTACAGGCAGCCAGGCAAAGGGATAAAGCACAAGTATCCAGAAAGGCAAGGAATCACCACAGAACTGCACCTGCCTCGAAAGGTATCCACTGGAGATGCCCGACTCACAAATGTGATTTTTTTTTTGAGACGAATTTCGCTCTTGTTGCTCCTGCTGGAGTGCAATGGCGCAATCTCCACTCACTGCGACCTCCGCCTCCAGGGTTCAAGGGATTCTCCTGCCCCAGTCTCCCAAGTAGCTGGGATTACAGGCACCCACCACCATGCCTGGCTAATTTCTGTATTTTTAGTAGACTTCAACATGTTGGCCAGGCTTGTCTCTGACCTCAGGTGATCTGTCTACCTTGGACTCCCAAAGCGCTGGCATTATGGGCGTGAGCCACCACGCCCAACCACAAATGTGATTTTTAAGCTGAAAATTATTCCATCTATCTGTTCTCTATTTCTGTGTTAATTCAACTGTATCTGCCTAAGTTTAAAAAGATCAAGGGCTGGGTGCAGCAGCTTACTCCTATAATCCCGGCACTTTGGGAGGCCAAGGTGCATGAATGGATTGAGCCCAGGAGTTTGAATTCAAGACCAGCCTGGTCAACATGGCAAAACCCTGTCTCTACCACAAATAATAATAATAATAATAATAAAAAAATAAAAAATAAAAATTAGCAGGACGTCCCAGCTACTCGGGAGGTTCACTTGAGCCTGGGTGGTGGTGGAGGTTGCAGTCAGCCAAGCTCACGCCACTGCATTCCAGCTAAGGCAGAAGAGTGATACCCTGTCTCAAAACAAAAATAAAAAAAGATCAAGCATTAATGAATCAAGCTAAGACTAGGCCCCAGCCAAGATGGATATTTAGATCTGTCCCCACAGGGAAGATATGCATTTGCTTAGCAAATACTACTATGTATGGTCAGCCATTCTGCAAAGCTCTGCGACATGGCAGTAAATAGAACTAACCCATGGTTCTTCATTTGGCTCACATTCTAACGGAAACAAAGGCATAGATAATGTCAGGTGCTATCAGTACCATAAAGAAAAAATAAAGCAGGATATGGGGAAAGTGATTAGAGAGAGAAGACATTGCATGTTGACTGTGTCATTAGAGGGTTGAAAACCAAAATATCTCACAATAATTTACGTTTCACAAGTAAATGTATAACTCCTAAGAATAGAAAAGATGAGTTTTGAATGATTCAAGAGGGAAAAGCATCTCATGCACTGTTTTGCCTTACTTACAGTAACTGTTGCAGCCTTACTATACGCCACATAACCCCCAGGATTCTCCACCAGGTAAACAAGTCCACCATTCTTATTAACTATGATCACCGAGTTTTGAGCACTGTTAAAAAGATGAAGTTAAAATAAGCCTAAGGTCACCCTTCCAAAAAACACAATAGCTTACATTTAGTATGTCTTGCATTATTTGGCTTCAAGAAATTTACCTCTAAATCTTAAGCTTAATTTTTATTTTAAAAGCCTTTGGGCCACGTGTGGTGGCTCACGCCTGTAATCCCAGCACTTTTGGGAGGCCGAGGCGGGCAGATCACCTGAGGTCAAAAGTTCGAGACCAGCCTGGCCAATATGGTGAAACCCCACCTCTACTAAAAATACAAGAATTAGCTGGCCATGGAGGTGTACACCTGTAATCCTAGCTGCTTTGGAGGCTGAGGCAGGAGAATCAGTTGAACCCAGAAGGCAGAGGCTGCAGTGAGCAGAGATTGTGTCACTGCACTCCAGCCTGGGTGACAGAGCAAGATTCTGTTTCAAAAAAAGCAAAGGCCGGGCGCGGTGGCTCAAGCCTGTAATCCCAGCACTTTGGGAGGCCAAGACGGGCGGATCACGAGGTCAGGAGATCGAAACCATCCTGACTAACACGGTGAAACCCCGTCTCTACTAAAAAATACAAAAATTTAGCCACGCGTGGTGGTGGGCGCCTGTAGTCCCAGCTACTCGGGAGGCTGAGGCAGGAGAATGGCATAAACCCGGGAGGCGAGGCTTGCAGCGAGCTGAGATCTGGCCACTGTACTCCAGCCTGGGCGACAGAGCGAGACTCCGAAAAAAAAAAAGCAATAGTAACAAAAAGTCTTTGCTATATTTAGCACACCTGAAAATAGCTACTTGTATAAAAATAAGTTTACCATCTTTCAACATACCTGTCCTTGACCTGAATCTTAACAAAATGTTGATCACGCCAGACTTTGCTGAGTTTAAATTCACGAAATTGATTTTCAATATACAATGCAAGATTTTCATCTTTTTGAGATCCAGCCTCACGAGGGACATATAAATTTTCATTCAGCAGCCTGGAGGAGAAAATGTCTTTTAAATAAACTTAAGTTTAATTTAAAATAAACATTTAACTCAAGGATTAAACAAATTGTTTTGAAAGCAAAATATTATCCCTCATAGTTTAGATAAACGAACTGTGACCCAAAACTTCTAGATTAACACAAACTAAGAAAAAAAAAACTGTGCCCCAAATCTTAATTTATAACTTCACAGCTTCTTTACCCACTATAAAGGACCCCTTCAAGAGCCTCATCATAATGTATCTGCTGAGGGGAAATGAGTAGCTTCCAGGAGATCTACTATAAAGTCAATTATAAAATCTAAGATAGTACTACTGTGCTAAACAGGGTACATAGTTTCAATTTTCACCTACTTGTGAAGCATTTCTGAATACCCTGAAGCAAAGCTGCTCCTTGGTCTGATCTCCCATCGCTCTTTCTATTTACTCAGCATATTAGTTCTCACATGTTTGTGGGGTGGACTATATTCTCACTTTATCCATAATATCTGGTGTACAGTAAATAAGCACAAAAGCATCAACTAGATGAAGTAGAAAATGCCATAACTTAAGACTAAAGAATTATAGTACCACACTAACTATAGGAAGCTTGAAAACAGGAAAAGATAAATTTATTATTTGCACAGAGGCATGGATGTGCAAAGATAGTAAAACTATATGGACAAGTGTTACAGCTCTTAGAATCTGTCTAGCATGCTTTCTGGCTTTTGCCAGAAAGCCCATTAAAAATAAAATAAATAAATATAAAATAAAAATCTGGCCAGGTGTGGTGGCTCACACCTGTAATTCCAGCACTTTGGGAGGCCGAGGCAGGAGGGTCACCTGAGGTCAGAAGTTCGAGACCAGCCTGGCCAATATGGTGAAATCCCATTTCTACCAAAAACAAAATTAGCAGAGTGTGGTGGCACAAGCCTGTGATCTCAGCTACTCAGGAGACTGAGGTAGGAGAATCACTTGAACCTGGGAGACAGAGGTTGCAGTGAGCTGAGATCGTGCCACTACACTCCAGTCTGGACAACACAGGAAGACTCCATCTCAAAATAAATAACTAAATAAATAAAAATAAAAATCTAAGGACAGACCGGCCTGGAAGACATGGTGAGACTCCGTCTCTTAAAAAACAAATTAGCTGGGTATGGTGCTGCGTGCTTATAGTCCCAGCTACTCAGGAGGCTATGGTGGGGGGATCGTTTGAGCCTGCGAGGTTGAAGCTGCAGTGAGATGAGATCGTACCACTGTATTCCAGCCTCCACCAGAGGGAGACACTGTCTCTGGATACTTATTGGCCTATGGGTTAATGGGTGAGTATCAGCAGAAACTAAGAAGCACTAGACTTAAGTCAGGCAGTTAAATTACCCATGATCTAGAAGATGAAAAAGGCTACTTCTGGCATGTGTTGTTTCCTATAAAAGAGAAAAGCTACTGATGCCCTTGTCAACAAAGCAGAGCTTAGTACAACATTATAAGAGGTTAAGAAGAGCCAGGCGCGGTGCCTCACACCTGTAATCCCACCACTTTGGAAGGCCAAGGCGGGCGGATCACGAGGTCAGGAGATCGAGACCACCCTGGCTAACACAGCGAAACCCTGTGTCTACTAAAAACACAAAAAATTAGCCGGGCGTGGTGACGGTCGCCTGTAGTCCCAGCTACTCGGGAAGCTGAGGCAGGAGGCAGAGCTTGCGGTGAGCTGAGATCGTGCCACTGCACTCCAGCCTGGGCGACAGAGCAAGACTCCTCAAAAAACAAAACAACAACAACAAAAAAGAGAGATTAAGAAGAAAAATCAGAGCCAAAGAATGACAGCAAGCAATAAGCTACAAAGATCGGGAAAACATCAAGGGCCTATGAATTTTTTAAGAAAAAGGAGACTCCCTAGAAGTTCTACCTTTTTTCCTACCAGTATAGTTTCAGTTCTTTACAGGCCCCTCACCCTCTTTAGCTAAACATGGCAAGTCTTGTCTTCTCTGAAAAGCCATTCCCACAGTGTCACCATTATTGTTTCCCTGCGGCCTATCATAATTCCTGAATTACTCATCTAGATACTTGCAAAGTAGCTCATGCTCACTTGATGGTGCTGGTGAAGTCTGTGGTGTCCAGTTTCTCTGACAACTTTTTCTTCAGGTCATCCCAGTATAAGCGCGGTGCCGCAGGGAAGTCCTCTTCTGGCTCCTCCCTCGCTGGAGACTCGGTGCCTGCCAGTCTCTCACACTCAGTTTTTGGTTCTACCCCTTTACAATAGCCCAAGTAGCCAATCATAAACCCTAAAGAGACAAAGTTCCAGAGCTGAGCTCAGAATTTCACTTGTGATCTATCCCTGTTAACACTTTTCAGGTAAGCCTTGAAAATACTGGTTTTCAAATTCTAAGTAGTTTTAAAGTATATAATGCATCTCAGTTTTGTATACTTTAAGCCACTTAATAAACTGTATACTAGCTTTATTTCAAATAGTTACCTATTCAAAACATAGGTACTTTTTCCAAAAGACCTCCTTGAAACATCAGACTGAGCTTCTACACCACCAGTATCCTGTGTATATGTTTTAGTGTAACATTTGTTTCCTGGTGGAGTGGTAGCAAACAAAAAAATACATAAATAAAAAGAAAACACTTGCTCGTCGTATTGAAAGAATTCATGGGTCTCTCTTTCCAACCAGACTAAATTCAATGACAGGTATAGAATCTACTCATGATTGTCTTCCTAGTGGGACTTAAAAAGGCACAAAGTGGCCAGACGCGGTGGCTCAAGCCTGTAATCTCAGCACCTTGGGAGGCCGAGACGGGCGGATCCCGAGGTCAGGAGATCGAGACCATCCTGGCTAATATGGTGAAACCCCGTCTCTACTAAAAAATACAAAAAAACCAGCCGGGCGCGGAGGCGGGCGCCTGTAGTCACAGCTCCTCTGGAGGCTACTCGGGAGGCTGAGGCAGGAGAATGGCGTGAACCCGGGAGGCGGAGCTTGCAATGAGCTGAGATCCGGCCACTGCACTCCAGCCTGGGCGACAGAGCGAGACTCTAAACAAAAAAAGGCACAAAGTGGACGGGTGAAGTGGCTTGTGTCTGTAATCCTAGCACCTTCGGAGGCCAAGGTGGGTGGATCACAAGGTCAGGAATTAGAGACCAGCCTGCCCAACATGGTGAAACCCCGTCTCTACTAAAAATACAAAAACTAGCCAGGTGTGGTGGCGCACACCTGTAGTCTCAGCTCCTCAGGAGGCTGAGGCAAAAGAATCGCTTGAACCCAGGAGGCAGAGGTTGCTGTGAGCCAAGATCACGCCACTGCACTCCAGCCTGGGCGACAGAGACTCCATCTCAAAAAAAAAAAAAAAAAATTAGCCGGGTGTGGTGGTGAGCGCCTATAGTCCCAGCTACTCAGGAGGCTAAGGCAAAGAATCGCTTAAACCTGGTAGGCAGAGGTTGCAGTGAGCCAAGACGGTGCCACTGCACCCTAGCCTAGGCAACAGAGTAAGACTGTCACAAAACAAAACAAAACAAAAAGGCACAAAATAACTATATGCTGAACTGAAATAACAGACTTCTCAGAGTTGGTTATGGAAAATATTGAAGTTTGGAATGGTCATTCTTACCAATCAAGAAAAAGAGGATCACGGCAATAGTCCCATAGCAGATATTTCCACCACATCTTTTTGGTTTTGTGCCATTGGCCTTTGTGTTATTGTCAGTATTTTCTTCTTCATCTACACCAAGTTTCATCTCCACATGACTGTTATCGCCGTCTACTTGCCGAGCCAGGCTGAACCGGGTATATGACAATGGTTCTCCACCAAACTGTTTTGGGGAAAAAGGCATGATGAAGAACAGGCACAGGAATGTTTAGGAAAAGCTTGCTTAGGTATATGCTTGTTATTGGGCCATTACTATGACTTGCTATGTATTCCTCAGTGTTTTCCTTTCAAACCAACATTCTTCCCTGGGCCCAGTCAAGGGCTAGTTCACACTGGTCTTCTCAATCAGTCTTTCCTTTTCTGTAAATGGTTTTTTGGTGTTTTTTTTGAGACAAGGTCTCCCTCTCTCTCCCAGGATGAAGTGCAGTGGTGTCATCACAGCTCACTGCAGCCTCAAAATCCTGGGCTCTACTGATTCTGCCGTCTCAGTCTCCTGAGCAGCTGGGACTAGGGGCACAAATCACTTTAGGATACTATGCAGTAACCCAGACCATGATGCTGGCGGGAGCCAGGGAACAAGAATAAAACAAGGTTATAAATAAGCAGAAATTCTGACTAAGCATAAGATAGAAGACAGAATAGAGAGAATAGGCCAGACGCGGTGGCTCACGCCTGTAATCCCAACACTCTGGGGGACCAAGGCAGACGGATCATTTGAGGTCAGGAGTTTGAGACCAGCTTGACCAACACGGTGAAATCCCGTCTCTACTAAAACACAAAAAATTAGCCGGGCGTGGTGACGGTCGCCTGTAGTCCCAGCTACTCGGGAAGCTGAGGCAGGAGGCAGAGCTTGCGGTGAGCTGAG